TAAAAGAAAGAAATAATAATAATATATTTAAAATAATAATAATAATAATAATAATAATAATAATAATAATAATAATAATAATATGTTTAAAAAGTGGGGCGGTGGAAAATGATGATTTTGGGTGTGAATAAAATATTTGATGTGTCTATGGAGGTGGAGTACCCACGTGAAATATCTTGAGGCATGTGGGGTGATTATTAGAGAGAGAGAGTGACAGTGTGTGCTATGTCCCCCCTGTGTTGTTTGCTCTTTTCTTCTTTATTCTCCTCAAGAGAATCTAGGTACTTGAAAATCTTTGAGTCTTCCTCGCTCAACAGCAGAACAACACCACCAGTAACAGCAGCAGTCTCCGATGGTGGCTTCCGATGGAATCAAATCGATCTCCCGAATACTAGTAGTAGACTGATACTTGGAACTACTACTACTTCTACTACTACTCTCTCCAACATGAAACTCCACTTCAACTTCCTTGCTCACCACCGAATCTGCAAACGAGTAATCTTCTTCTGGAAAATCAACTCCAGTGCTATCAGTTCTCGGAGTAGATCGAACCGATTCGACTAACGATTCGGCTTCAACAGGTCCAGTATGTGAAATCAGGATATTACGAAACTCGTCCTCGAGCCTAGCCATGGCGATCTGCATCGCACCATTGACCTTGTTCTGATCATCGGTCACAGTCACCGATTCCATCGATCGTTGAATCTCATCAACGGCTTGCAAGTATCGATCGATCTCTTGACGATCGGAATCGAAGATCATACGCTCTCTGGCTTCCTCCAACGCCGTGGAGTCCCACCGGAGGATGATTTTCTCGGCTGATTCGATTGCTCCGGCGGTGTTTTCCGGCGGCTCCATAGTCGGAAATTGGTTCGATGACTGTTGCTGGTGGTAATACATCTGCTGCTTAATCATCCATGACTGTTGTTGTTGTTGGTATTGAAGGTGGTTCTGCTGGTGTGGCTGAACTACGCTCGTTGCTGGTTGCATCATCGTGAAAAACCCTAGCTTAGATGAGAGAGAGTAGGTATGTATAGAAAAACTCCAACGGGCAGCGAAGGCAAGGTTGCCGGCCGGCTGCCCGCCGGGGAAAAACAATATATAGGTCTAAATCTTATAGCTCTGATACCATGTAAAAAATACTGTATTATTGATTGATATTGATTGATCTATTGATACATGTTCCTTATATAGATGTAGGTAGTAGGTGAGGTGGTAGTGGTGTAGTGGGTTAGGTTTAGTGGAGTAGGTGAGGTGGTAGTGGTGGTAGGTGATGGTAAATTCTAACAGGTGACATCATAGCAGACCGGTGACTCTCTTCATTCCGTACATAGGCGAATGCCTCCTGAAGTGAAGGAAGAGTGTCCATACCCAAAACCCGACTCCGAACCAGATCATGCTCTTCATTGAGACCTACTAGAAACTTGAAAACCTTTTCCTATGTAATGAACTTCCTATACTTGACTGAATCAGCAATGCAAACAGGCTTGTAGTCCTACAGGTGATCAAGGCGTTTTCAGCCGTTGGTGAGGAAAGTGAAGTACTGAAGAATAGTTTGTTCCCCCTAAACAGAGCTCTCAATACAGCGGCGCAACTCAAATGCCTGTGAGAAATTCCCTTTGCGAGAATAGGTGGCAGCCACAGAATCCCAAATATCTTACGCAGTCTCCATAGATAAGTAGCCCCCACCAATTTCTGGTACCATCGAATGAATAAGCCAACCCATATTGAAAGAGTTGGTAATCTCCCATTGGTCATAACCTGGGTCAATGGTCACTGGAGCTTGAACTCTGCCATTAACATGACTTTGTGACCAGGCAAGGCAATTCTAACCATTGAAAGGAGCGGGGGTGATTTTAAGGCTAGGATTCTGGATGTCAAAAAACTACTATCTTAACCCACGAAATTGCACTAATCACAAAAAAAAAAGGAGGATAGGATAAAGGGGACAAGCAAACTCAAACACAGGCCACTATGGGAGCATAAAACATTCAGATTAACAAGGCCATTAATGGACCAAAAGAATAAATTAAATTAAAGGGAAGAAACCACCACCAATCAAAATTTGAGTCTAGGATAACACGATTATTAGGTGAGGAAGAGCAACTTGGTTTATCAATGGCCCCAAAATTGTTTCTGGGGTGGTCTATCAGCGATGATCAGGAGCATGATCATGAACAGGGACTCACGAGCATGGGTTGAAGTCAGAGAGACCAAAAGGGGCCTTCGGTGAGGATTTCGACCAACCCAGGTGAGTTTCAAACCCTAGGGTGATCTTCGGTGCCGATTTCAACCAACCAGGGTGATGAGAACCCTAGATAGACATCAACCCACCACGAAAAAATCTGGGTCCTTCTCGGCTTGAGCCGAAACCCCTTAGGGTGGAGTTGGCTTGAGTCGATAGAGAGAGAGGACTTATCGGCTGCTGAAGTGGTGGTCGCTGGCTGCGTGGGTTGTCTCCGGTGGGTAACAGGAATTGTATGGGTAGATGGGTTTAGGTGTTAGGGTTAGCCTCTAATACCATGATAATTTTAGAGAATCAAAATTAAGGAATGATTGTGATATCATCCCCTTTTTATATTAATGAAGATTAATAATTACAAGGGAGCCCTAAGGTATAGAATAATTACAATTGAATAATAACCCAACTAATAATATACTATTCTAACAATAATTTGCTGTTATTTTAATTTATTAAAAAAAAAAAAACTTGCTGTTATTTTATATGTTCATATGCCATTTAGGCAATTTATTGGTATATAATATATTACATGTATATGTGCCCAATGTTTGGAAATTGAGACTGTCAACCAAACCGGAAAAGGGACCAGGTCAAGGGTCACCAGTTCAACAATCAAGTCAACCAAAATCGAACCATGACGTAATAATTATCTTATAAACATATTTAAATAGAAAAGATAGGTATTAAGATACTTTCTTTTCAATTATTTTTATATTTTAAGATTAGCTAAAAACATATTTACTAAATGTATATGTTTGTACAAAAATATTTACTGATTATTTGTAAAAAAAAAAAAAATTCACTTGTGCTTGAGGGAAAATGCATTGAAGTTAATTTGTAATTTAAGTTTATGAAGTTTTAATGGAGATCCATTGTAGTCTGATGGTAAAGTGTTGTACTTCATGCATGAGGTGCTGTGTTCGAGCCACTCCAGATTGGTTTTTACAACATTCATAATCATGCAGGTCATCAGTGAGGTTGGCTACTGGTTCACCTGGGTAGCCGTTCAACTGTGGGGTTTTCCAGTTTAACAAAAATATACTGATTTTTAATCTAGAATGGGTTTTAGGGTGTATCCAGACCAGAACCTATACCTGCCCGCTCCGGTTTAATAAACATTGTATGTGCCTATATCTTTGTATTCTTTACTACAAGTTTGGAACAAACAATTGAAAAAATCAGACCCATATTATTTCCCCAACTGCTCCTCTTTCTTCTCCTATGTTGACTGAAACCTTAAAGCCTAGCTCAAACATCTATGGATTATTTAGTTTGATTTGACCCCAATAATTTCGCTTTCCTTATTCGGTTTGCTAATTAGGGTTTGTAAGTTTAGAGAAGAGAAAGAAATAGGGAATGCGTGAGACCTCGTCTCCTTTTATATTAAGAATAAAGCATAATTACAGGAGTGGCATAAGGCATGAATTATGGGCCAGGCAAAGTTTTAAAAAGCGGCTGCAACTGTTACATAACACCGTTGGGTAACGGTTTTGGTGGTTACCGCCACCCGTTACGGCCGTTTTTGCAGTGTAATTGAGATTCACAGGTATGTCGGCCGTAGCGGCTGCCGTAGTGGTCGTAACGGTGCCGTAACAGCTTATTATGCACCATTACGTAACAATTCCAAACTGTTTCTTTCGAAAAAACACACAAAAAAAGAGCTAAAAATGGGGGAAGAGGGATAGAGAGAAGAGGGAAGATAAAGAGAGAAAATGGAGGAGTAAGAGATAGTGAGAGAGAAGAGGGAAGATGAAGAACGTGTTATTGATTTGTTGAAGCTGTAAGGTCTATGCTATTCTATTCAGCTATTATCACTCAACCTTTTTGTTTGTGTGTCTATCTATATATTGTTTGAAAATAATAATAATAATAATAATAATAGTAAGTGTGGTCATTATCTATTTGGCTTGGTTTAAATATATATTTATATATATTTATGCTCTTATTTGTTCTCTTACTTTTATCATTGTTTATCTTATATATAATAGTTAGTGATTGATTTTTTGTATAATATAAAGTCATTAATTATTAAAATAAAATGTAAAAAACTCAGTTTATAGTGATTTAAAAATATGAAATATATTGGATAATAATTAAAAATTTACAAAAATTGATCAATATTTATTTTAAACCCAATAAATATGATCATGGAAAAAAAATATGTGTATCGGTAAGTTTTTTTCAAATTATGCGAAAAATAAAAAAATTCATGGTTCCGGTTACCGCAACCATTACGCTACGGCCTTTACACCCCGCAACCACAACTGCGGTACCGCCACCGTTACAGCGATCGCAACCGCTTTTCAGAACCTTGGGGCTAGCCCATTACATCAATCAAGGAATAAAATTTCCTTATTCTAACACTCCCCCTTAAGCTGATGTGAAGATATCTCTCATGCCCAGCTTATTGAGAATGTCATGAAATGGTTTGCTCCCTATTCCTTTGGTGAGAACATCTGTTAGTTGATCTCCAATCTTGACAAATGGAGTACATATGGTGTCGCTAGTGAGCTTTCCTTGATGAAGTGCCTATCAATCTCCACATGCTTGATTCTGTTATGTTGAACTGGGTTATGAGTTATGTTGATTGCTGCCTTGTTGTCACAGTACAATCTCATGGAATCGGTCTAATAGATCCCTAAGTCTCCCAACAATAGTCTAATCCATAGCAACTCACATACACCCTGTGTCATAGCCCTGAATTCTGTCTCAGCACTAGATCTAGCAACTCCATTCTGTTTCTTACTTCGCCATGTGACAAGGTTGCCTCCAACAAATGTGCAATATCCAGAGGTTGATCATCTGTCAGTGATGGATCTAGCCCAATCCGCATCAATAAATGCTTCCACATCGAGATGTCCATGTTTCGAAAAATAGAGACCCTTTCCAGGAGAAGTCTTCAAGTACCTCAGAATTCTCATAATTGCATCTAGACGAGAAGTTCTAGGTGCATGCATAAATTGGCTAACTATGCTTAATGCAATGGCAATATCTGGACATGAGTGGGATAAGTATATAAGCTTGCCCACTAGCTTCTGGTATCTCCCCTTGTCCACTGGTTCTACCCCTTGATCCTCACTCAGTTTCTACCCGGTTCTAGAGGTGTATCACATGGTCTACCCCTAAGCATTTCAGTTTCCTTTAGCAAGTCAAGTACATACTTTCTCTGGCATATGAAGATGCCATCCTTGGACCTAGCTACTTCAATACCCAAGAAATACTTCAAATTACCCAAATCTTCGATTTCAAATTCCTCGGCTAAGTAGTCCTTCAATCGAGATATTTCCTTAATATCATCCCCTGTCAGAACAATATCGTCAACATAAACCATAAGAGCTGTGGTCTTACCATGAGGGGAGTGTTTCACAAATAACATGTGATCTGCTTGACTTTGCTTGAACCCATATCTCAGCATAGCTTGAGCAAACCTTTCAAACCAAGCCCTAGGAGACTGCTTTAGCCCATAAAATGGCTTTCGGAGTCTGCACACTTTACCTTTGGACTTAGCATTCGCAAAATCAGGAGGAATATCCATATAGACCTCTTCTTCGAGGTCTCCATGAAGGAAGGCATTCTTCATATCAAACTGATGAAGTGGCCAATCCAAATTTACTGTAAGAGAGAGTAGTATTCTCACAGAGTTCATTTTAGCAATTGGTGCAAATGTCTCCTGGTAATCTACCCCATAAGTCTGAGTGAAGCCCTTAGTAACCAGTCTTACTTTGTACCGTTCTATGGATTCGTCTGCTTTGTGTTTTACAGTGTACACCCATTTACATCCA